GAAAGAGAGCTCATATTCAAAGAGGACAGTGGGAGCACTATTGACCTTGAAGAAATTCAAGAGTCAGCCAATGAAGGAACCTTAGATGACACTAGCACTCAACCAGAGGAAACAGTTCCTGTTGAACCAATTGATAACTCATTACCTCTTAGAAGATCCACTAGGGTGAGTGTGCCACCTGAGTTGTATGGTTTTCATATTACTTCAGATGGTGACACATTCATAAGTGACAGAACACTGGTAAACTTAGATGAACCAGTCACTTATAAGGAAGCAATGGCAGGCCCAGAGGCTTCCAAGTGGAAAGAGGCAATGGACAGCGAGATTAAGTCCATGTATGACAACCAAGTTTGGAATTTGGTTGATAGTGCACCAGGTCGCAAGACAGTTGGGTGCAAATGGATCTTCAAGAAGAAGACAGACATGGATGGGAATGTGCATACATTCAAGGCTCGACTGGTTGCAAAAGGTTTTACTCAAACCCCAGGGGTTGACTATGATGAGACTTTTTCGCCAGTGGCTAAGATTAAATCTATTAGGATATTGCTCGCCATAGCTGCCTTTCATGATTATGAAATCTGGCAGATGGATGTCAAAACTGCTTTCCTTAATGGGAAGTTGGCTGAAGATGTTTACATGAGTCAGCCAGAGGGTTTTGTTGATGCAAAGTTTCCCAATAGAGTGTGCAAGCTTGAGAAATCCATTTATGGATTGAAACAAGCATCTCGCAGTTGGAATCTTTGCTTCCATGAGAAAGTCAAAGAGTTTGGTTTCTCTAGAAGTGAAGATGAGTTTTGTGTGTATATCAAGGCTAGTGGGAGTATAGTAACTTTTCTGGTGTTATATGTCGATGACATATTACTCATTGGTAACGACGTTCCAACCTTGAAAGAGGTTAAGTCTTGGCTTGGAAAGTGTTTTGCAATGAAAGACCTTGGAGAAGCTGCCTATATTCTTGGGATTAGAATATTGAGAGATAGAAAGAAGAGACTAATTGGACTTAGTCAGAGCACATACTTGGATAAGGTACTAAAGAGGTTTAGTATGGAAAATTCCAAGAAGGGAGAGCTACCTATCCAGAGCAATACCAAATTGAGTAAGACTCAATGCCCGAGTACAGATGTTGAAATAGATGACATGAGTCGTGTACCTTATGCTTCCGCTGTCGGATCGATCATGTACGCTATGACATGTACTCGCCCTGATGTGGCATTTGCTTTGAGCATGGTCAGTCGCTATCAGGGAAACCCAGGTAGAGCTCATTGGATAGCAGTTAAGAATATACTCAAGTATTTGCGAAGGACAAAGGATTGGGTTCTTGTGCTTGGTGGCAGTGATACTTTGAGAGTAGATGGTTACAGTGATGCCAGCTTTCAGACGGATAGAGATAACTTCCGTTCTCAGTCGGGCTGGGTATTTTTACTGAATGGAGGAGCAGTTACTTGGAAGAGTTCCAAGCAAAATACGGTGGCTGATTCTACTTGTGAATCAGAGTACATTGCAGCAAGTGAAGCGTCGAAAGAAGCAGCTTGGTTGAGGAACTTCATCGGGGATCTCGGAGTTGTTCCAACCATCCAGGAGCCTATGGAACTCTTCTGCGATAATGAAGGAGCGGTTGCCTTGACAAAGGAACCGAGAGATCATGGTAAGACCAGACATATCGACAGAAAGTACCATTTCATTAGACATAGAGTTGAAGAAGGCCATCTTATAGTAAAGAGGGTGTCATCTGAAGATAACCCAGCAGATCCCTCACAAAGGGTCTGAGTAGGGCTAAGCATATTCAGCATGCTCGGAGCATAGGACTGAAAGATGATATTAGTTTTAGTAGTTAGATTAGTTTTTGAAACTTGTAACAAAGTAAATGTAATTGACCTTTGGTGATTAAATAATAAAGTATTATTTATAAGTTTGGCTACTACCTTTTGTCGATTGTTTATTATTGTGTTTCATTTTTGCATGTTTTACTTCCTGAATAATGAGATTATTCAAACTCCACAGTCGCTCGTACTCTTGGAAGTAAGTAGTGAATTAAGACTGTCATGAATTGGATTGCAGATTGTCTAAGGATAGACATGGCAATAGAATTGCTGCAACGTTCATGAGTACTCAGAAATTGAGATTTGAGTATTGGATAAACCCTCGCTCAGAGTATTACTTCATGGAATTCATCACGAGTAATACTGAGACGATAATATCTTATAATCTTGAAACGAAGATATATGAGTTGTAATTTACAAGTCGGTTGTGCATTGGTGATACGAAAACGCATCAGTAACTTGGTGTTATAAAACGTATTGTCATGCATAATTTGATGAGTAAAAGATACAAGCATATGAGTCAACGTTTATTCGTTCCTTTTGCCCTAACAGGAAAAGCGATATCTGTGGGCCCCTCGATGATTTGGTGTTGACTTATGTGCTGGGCCCAGCCAGGACTAATTGATGTGTTCGATTAGAAGTCCTACATCATCACAAATCAGGAATCGGGAAACATAGATTCTGGACAAACAGATTGATTACATTCCATGTCTTTTGTCTGGGGATATCAAGCAGAACGAAGGGTTATATGATCACTTATCTTAGGACACGTAACTGACTGGGTCAGAGTTCGGCAGCAGCTTTTGGAAGCTACAATTTGCTGGTCAAATTTAGAAGGCATACTAGCAATTATAGTTACAGACTTATCCAAGTGGGAGACTGTTGGATTAGGTGTCTAAGCCCATAACTATAATTGGTATGTACTTGAATTGATAGCAGCACAGTCCTTTTGGGTTGCCCTCAACCTAGCAACTGGACAAGGAAATTGTGAAAGGAGAGATATTAATTTATAAGATTAATAAATTAATATAAATGATTTATTAATATGTTAATGGATTAATATATTAATTAGAAATCATTATGTTTAATTAATTGTTAGCCAGAAATTAATCAGAATTGATTTTGGGGTTAAAAGAATTAATTATAAGGTACAGGGACTAGTTTGCAATTATCTAATAGTTGAGTGGAAGGCTCTAGAACCCCCTTGGAAGAGGGTGGACGAAATCTTTAGGGGAAACCCTAATAATTTCGTCCATAGGGGCTTGGATAAGGCCCTTGGGTTTGCTTAGGCCCTAAGCAAAGGATAACTAGGGTTTCCCTTAAACCCTAGATCCCTCAGCTATATAAGGAGCCTCCTGGTTCATGTTTTTGGTCACTCTTTCTTTTGAAGAAACCCTAAGGCCGAGATTTTGCATACTCCCTCCCCTCTCTCTTCTTCTACTTTCCTTCTTGCTAGTTTGGGTGTGATTCCATTAGAGGCATTACACTTGTGGTGCTAAAGCTTCCAAGAAGATCAAGATCAAGATCAAGAGGATTGTCAATTGTTTGCTATAACAATTGAAAGGTATGTAAACCCTAAACCCTAGTTTACTATTTTCGAAAATAGCCTCTCTCCTCTAGGGTTCTTGTTTTGCAATTCAAAGTTGTATGTTCAATAGTTAAAACATAGATCCAAAGTAGGTTGCATGTGAACTTAGGAATTGTTTTTCTAGGTTATTTGTTTTACCTAAAACCCATCAGATTCATCATAGGTTATGACCAAATTGCCCTTTGCAAGGTTCTTTATCACAAAGGATAGTTACATTACAAAATAGAAAATTTACCCCTTGTTATTAAATGACTTTAAGGTTTGTTCCCAAATTTATTCAAAAGACATAAATGATAAATCTTAGAAACTTAGTTAGTGCAGCCTCTGTAATCGACAATTCCTTGTAGGACACACCTTTTTTTCTTTCCAAATACCTTGAGTTTGTAATCGACAATTCGAGATTCAAGAATGGAAATTGTGTTATGTTCTAGATAATTGAATGAACAATGGGATTGGATGGAAGCCTAATATAGGCCTAATAACGTAATGTGAAATTGAGAGGGGAGGGTCATTCAATTTTTTCATCCGTTACATTAAAAAATGTGTGAGTCATGACTTTACAAATTCTGGTTCGATGCTCGCAGTTGATTCTAGAAAGTGTATCGGAATCAATGAAATCACGATCCATAGAGTTGAAGAAAGAAACAGAGGGGAAGATTGATTGAAGGTCTTCGACTGTGCTATCTGGGAGAACAATGGAACGGGGAACGAATGAATGAATTGGGGGGGGGGGATTAGTTGTTTATCAGCCCTAAATCAAGTTATGTACCACAAAATGTATGTATAATGCCACGTAATATCATTAATGCCACATAATATAAACGAATGCCACGTAATGTGCCAAATCAGCTTAAACCTAAGATAGCCGGTCATATTACTTAAACTTGAACATGTCAAATAAGTTCAATTGGCAAATGTATACGAAAAAAACATTGTTACCTTAATATGGACAAACCCTAAAGTTGGCTACCTTTCTAGATCATTAACCCATTCTTTATCTTCAAAATTTCATCCTAAGAACACATGATATCTCATCATTTATATCATTGGTACACATGTCTTGTCTTTTTCTTCATAATCTTCTAGGAACACACCCTTCCATCTTTAGCCAACCTTGGGACACAAGCTATTCCTTTCTAATATTTTTAATCATCTTATCAGTTTTTTCATCACATTCACATGTATGCTATTATTATTATAAATCAAATTCGGAGAAAAATAGGTGTAAAAAGTAAAAACACATTTTGCTTGATATGCATGCTGTTTGTTAATAGCTCAAATATCAGTAAAAAAAAAGAATTCCGTTGCCGGGACTTGAACCCGGGTCTCTCGGGTGAGAGCCGAGTATCCTAACCAACTAGACTACAACGGATAGTTGATAGAAAGCCACGCAAAAGTGTTATGACTTCAACTAATCCTGATTTTGATAATATAATACTACGTAATATGTTATTTTAAGTTTGTCTATATCGGATCAAGTTGTTTTAAATTTTTTAATAAAGGCTACTTTTGGGGTTTGTTGGTGGGTCAAATAGTTTTAAAGTGTAACTGTGACAAGTTCCGAATTCCGATCCATATATACCATATGTAGCTGAAAAATTAATAAATTTCATATACTTGTAACAATTTGAACATCGTATTACAACTCTCTAATCCTACCAAAGTCAACAGCAAGACGCTGAAACTGTAACCAAAAACACATTACACATATGACATAACCAAACCAATCTACACAAAACTTCTATGAAGTAGTATTGGTGGCTCTAAAAGCCGCTAATCTTGCTACAAAGTCATCATAATCAGGAAGTTTAGGATGCACATGTCCATGTCCATGGCCTTGACTCAAATCCGTAACAGCCCTCGCAAGCCCTTTTTTAGTTTCCTCTGTTTCCGAAGATTCCACCTCAACAGGAAGTGAAGTTATTCGTGTTGGAGCATGAGCTGATACTGATTGTCTAAAATCACAACCTAATTTGTTCAACGTCTTTCTCTCCCTGACTCTTTTATTATTCTCTTCCTCTTCTTCATCATCATCATCATCATCATATGAAACTTTGGGTGTTGCTTTTGAAATTTCATTGTGCCCTTGAGAGCCTGACACTGCCTGTAATGGTCTCCGAACCCTCATTGATCTTGGTACTGCTGGCTGCTGCTTAGGAGGTGTGATAAGTGTAACATTTGAATTCGTTGCCACCTCTGTTTTGATGTAAGGAGGACCCACTGACCTTAATGTATACTTATCTGGTTTCAAGTAAGGAGGAGGCGTTGACCTTATTATTGCATCATAAAACTTTCTTCCTTCCACTCCTCCTACATCCTCAGAAGCACTACTACTACTGCTGCTACTACTATCATCTTGGCTAGTTGTGGAACTACTACTACTTGTACTTGACCAATAAGGGGAATGTTTGACTTTCACCTCCTCCTCCTCCTTTTTCTCTTTCTTTTCAACTTCACCCCTTGACTTGTATGGCAAACTGTTTCCAGTCCTCTGCTTATTATTTTTCGTTTCAACTTCAGCTTCAGCCCAAGATTTGTATTTGTATGGGAATTCATTTTCAATTATATGCTCCTTTTTTGCAACTTGACTTTGTTTCTTTTCTGTTTCAACCCCATTTTGATGATGAAGTTTAGGTAATTGTTTGTTTCTTTCATTCACATATTCACACGAATCCTGCAAAAACCAAAACATATGTCTTATTAATTTTCTGAAAAAATATAATAATAATGTTAACAGTTAGAAGAAAATGAGAAAATGGTTTACCTGTACAAACTGAGGTGGTTTGTATAATTTATGTTCTGAAGCCTTGGGAATCCATTCTATACCATATTCCAGTGTAATCTCTAGCATCATTACATTCTTTATGTCCTCACTGGGAGTCTCTGCCTTCAAGTTCTTCACAAACTAATAACAACATAATTCTTTCCATTTTACTTTTACTTGATTAAAAAAAATTAATAAAAAAACATGTTTTTGATTAGGTGTATGTAGTAAGCACCTCTTTGTTGACATAAGGTTCAAGAGAATTCCCATATCTTTCAGCAAATAAACTTCTCAGTTCACGCAATTCTGGCAAATCAGCAAATCTTGCAGCAGCAAACATCAGAGTTGAGATAGATTCCTTGCATTCCTCTGGGCATTCCCTATAGATCATGAAGAATTAATTCGTTAATTTTTTTTTTTAATATTACATGAAACTATATAAATAATAAATATAAAAAAAAGTTACTAGTTTACCTTTGCTTATCCATGCTTGAGAGATGATTTAGAATGAGCAAGCATGATTGTTCGACAAATTCATAACATGATGACAGATTTTGGTCAACATATAACTGTTCAACCTGTTTCCATCAAGTAAAGTTTTCATTAGAACAAAAGAATCTTTAAAGAGAAGTCTTTTTGAGATTATTCAGAGAATAAAAGAATCTTTAAAGAATTCAATCACATCTCCACAAGGCATCAATCATCAATCTTTCCAACCTAAAAGTTTAACTGCTTACAATTAATATATCAATAGAAGTCTTTTGAGAATAAAAGAATCTTTAAAAGTTGAATCCCATATCAAAAAGGCATCAAATGATCAAAATTTATATATGTAAGTTGTCACATCACATGAACATTAGTTATAAACCTGCCTTAATCTTGCTGCAAATTTAATCTAATGTTTTATGTTCATAAATCAGTTTTCATCATATTAAAGAGGTCATCATCCTAATGAACTCAAACAGGTAGATAAATTCAGATTTTGGACCCACAAATGCATATTTTTATACTTTAGACATAATTTAATGGAATCATAATTGTTGTCAAGTATGGTGCACCAATATTCCAATCTGTTCTTACGCTATCATCCATTCATCCTAGAAAAATATGCTTGTTAGAAATACCAAAACATCTCTGACACAATCAAGCATCCAAATAAATGCTTGTTAGGAATGCCAAACTGTTCTTACGCAAACAGATGCAAGTTAATGCCATGTTCTAAAATTTCTAAAATCAAACATCGAAAAACTCTTCTAATGTGAATTCAATGTATTAAAAAGTTGTATCAAAAGTCAAACAGTGCATTAACACAGGAAGATTGTATTCAATGGTGTGCTGATTGTCATAAACCTTAAATTAATAGCATCAATCCATCGTTATTTTCAAACTAAAAAAAGAGAACAAAGAAGATCACGAAAGAAACAAGAAAGCTAAAGAGAAGTAATTACCCTGCTATAGGCATTGGAATCAAGACCGTTCTTAAGAAGATCAGCAACATCGTTCCTCAGAAACTTCTGCATTGCGTTCCTCTTTCTCTTTATAATCTCAATTCTCCTTCTTGTCATCTTGATTTCTGACTTGCTGATATCGCAAACAAACAATACACGAAAACAAATCAAATACGAACAGATTTGAACGAGAAAAATCACAAAAAAAATAACTCCGTGAGAGAATTTCCTACCATTTCGAGTAAAACTTGCTTCTTAATATCGCGTCAAACATGTTTGCGTTTCTATTAATTCCTCAAACCCTTACTTTTGTAACTCCAGAACGATTATCAAAAACTGCGATCAAAACCTTCAAACGACCGCCATTGCAGCGGGAATCTAGGTTTGCAAGCAGCAATAATATCAACCAATGAATCAGAATGGAGAAGGATAAAACGAATTTGATTCAAAAATCCAAGAGAATATCGCATACAGATATATATGATACACACAGATGTTGGAAATATATTTTCTTATCGATATTTGAATGTATATACGCAGATTTTGTAACGAAGAGGGTGAAGGGGGTGAGTGAAATCAGGTGAGCTGGACAATTCAATATTTGTCCATAAGTTTCAACGATGGGACCATGTCAAACAGAATATGACCCTTTTTTTCTGCAAGATCAACGGCTGAGATGAGTTTGTGAGATAGTGGGACACCGATAACATGGTGCGTGTATGACACGAGATGTTTTCTCCGCCGAATATACTAACGGAGTGGGTTGCCACGTCGGAACAACTTTTTGCCGAAATGACAATAATACCCAGAAAACACCGGCAAATAAACCGTCGAGTACCCGTACTTTTTATTTTATTTTATTTTATATTTTTTAATTGCGAATTTTTATATTTTAATTTGCCGGATAACATTATATATTTGTTTGTTATTTTATAAACCGATGACATTATTCGGTAGATTATTTATGATTATTTGTTTCTAAATCATTTAAAAACATATGTATATTTTCCACATTTCCATAGAGATTGCTTTCTCTATATATTTTGTGTAAAATCTTTTGATATTGTATGATTATCGTTCTAAAAAAACAAAAAGATAATTTTCTGATACATTTTATTTGGGATAGTGTTTGTATGACCAGAAACATTCCATATGTGAGTGATATGATGATATTTGAAAATTTTAAATGTTATAACTCTAGAAAACATATGTATATTTTTGACAATGCGAAAGAGATATTTGCTAAAGAAATTTTTTTTTTTATAATTAAAATAGGTTGGATTAAAACATGGATGATGTTAAAGGAAGTTATTTTTGGAAAACAATCAGGAATTGTATGCCAATTGTCTAGTTAAAACTTAAAAGATAGGAAGTATATGTCATGGCTCCATGCATTTTAGCTGGCACTTGGGACAATGACATTTATGTAACTTATGTCCTTCCAAATTAGTGACCAAATCTCCTGCAAATTGCAAGGAGAAATTCCATATAGTTAATAGAGAAAATTAGACTATTGGTCCTGCCAAAAGTTGTATGGTGGGACAACTATGGAAACGTTTACGATTTTGGTCCATGTGGTTTGTAAATATTGCTCGTTGGTCTTGTGGTTTTCTTTTGTTTTATAATTGATCTAAAATTACTATTTTATCCTTAGTTTAAATAGCAACCAATAACACAAACTTAAATATTAAGTTTTAATCGCATCCAATAAGAAAACAAACTTTCAATTTTAGTTCTAAAATACCATTGTCTCCAATTTTAATCGGTTATACCCGATTACTTACCCACATGGCATCAAAGTAAAAAACAAACAAAAAACAATAAAACAATAAAACACCTCAATAACTTAATAGATAAGTTTTGTGGATTGGTTGCCATTTTGGATTATTTCCCTTCAAAAATATGAAAGCTTTAATAGTTATGTTCTTTAGTTTGTTTATACTTTTATATTAAGATAAATTAAGTAATATATATGTTTTTTCTCTTTATTTAAATTAATAATATAATTATTAATATTTTTTATTTTTATTTAAATTATTTAACATAATTTTATTATTTTTATTTCTTTTTATTTAATTATTTTCTACGTATTGTTAAAATACAATGTTTTTTTATTTGCACATTGTTCAAATACAATGTTGTTTGTTTTTGAGCCTTTCAGTTTACTATAATTAGTGTTGTAATTTAATATATATTTTGACGTTTGTTTGTTTGAATTCAATTTATATTTTTTAATTCCATCTTTCGAAAGATAATATGTAAATAACTATACTACAAATTCATATGTTATGCAAAAAATCCAGTAAAAACCGGTTCAGATTTAACCCACTCTTTTTTTTGAATTTAAAAAACAAATCGGGTAATAAATACGTAATCTATAATAATCCGGTAAAAAAATCCGTTATGCACTTTTTTATTATATTTAAATAATTATTCATTTAGTTTTTATTTTAACTCTATTTTAGTAGAAAATATATAACGGATTAAAAAAATAGTGGGTTAATTTGAGAAAAAGAGTGGACAAATATTGATTCAATATGAGTATAATGGGTTAAATCCAAACCGGTTTTTATCAGATTTTGGCATAAAATATGAATTTACAGAATAACTATTAAAAATTAGCTTAAAAAAATGGAGTATAACTGAAAAATGTAAATTGAATTCAAAGAAACAAAACGCCAAAAAAATACATTAAGTTACAATACTAAATATTGTAAACTTTAAACGTCAGAAAAAAATCAACAACATTGTATTTGAATAAAACATAAAAAAGCGATTAAATAAAAAAACACAAATAATAAGATTAAGTTTAATAATTTAAACAAAAATAAAAAACTATTAATAATTATATTATTTATTTTTCATAAAAAAATACACACACACACACATATATATATATATATATATATATATATATATATATATATATATATATATATATAGATATATATATATATACGACTTGGTTCCAATATAGATGAACGTCTATTGTGCGGACGTGTGGACAATGCTATTCGGTGAGAATGATTAAGGGAATATGTTATTTGATAATGTGAATACGTTCAACGTCACATAACTATTGTCATTATCATGCATTCTCACTAATTAAATCGTCTATAAGGGTATTATAGACTTTTTTATGATTCTCATTTTGTCAGAATGTGTTATTGATAATCGTAATCTGTAAGAATAAAAATGAATGAAATACGATGCGTGAGAATAAAAATGAATAAAAATTAGTGAGAATGCATGATAATAACGATAGTTATCTGATATTTAACGTATTCACATTACCAAACAACTTATTCTCTTAGTTATTCTTATAAAATAGCACTGTCCACACACGTTCGAACAATAAATCTCCAACCATATTATAACCTACCTCTCTCTCTCGCGCTCGCTCTCTCTCTATATAGATATATATATATATATATATATATATATATATATATATATATATATATATAAACCTTATTTTCTCAATTGAACCCTCCTATATATATATATATATATATATATATATATATATACTAATAAATTAATAAGTTTATTCTCCTATTGACAAGTGTCATTATATTAGAATCCTCACTAATATTATATGTCCCTATCATGCCACTTCTCAACATATTAATTATCCATTTCAAATTTCAAATTTTAAATTTTCCATTCTAATTACATTAAATTTTAAAATTCAAATTTTAAAATTTTTCACTTTAATTATATTAAATTAATAACATTACACTATTAAAAAATAAAATAAAATTAATACAGATTATAAGGTGATATAACTTCACGTATTTATTTAAATCAACGATTATAATTTTATATAACTAAAAAATATTTCTTAAGTAATCATTTATTTAAATCAAATTGATTACTAATTTTGATTTTTTAATATGAAAGTGTAATTAATTTTATAACCATGGTTCTCACGGGTTATAAACTATTATATATATATATATATATATATATATATATATATATATATATATATATATATATATATATATATACACACACACACACACACACATACTCTAATAAATGAAAGTTTTTTGATTTGGAAACTCTGATAATAATGTTTTGAAATACTTTGACTCATGTTTTGATGGAATGGTTTGATAACTATTGTTTTATTTAATGTTTTAAAAATGAAATTTTTGGTCATGATTTTTGGGATGTTACAATCGGTTTGTGATTGTATTCATTGATGATATCTTGCTCTACTCCAAGACCAAGGAGCAACATGAGGAGCACTTGTGAGAGGTGTTGGAGACCCTGAGGTGGAAGATGATTTATGCAAAATTCTCAAATATGAGTTCTGGTTGCACGAGGTGCAGTTCCTGGGGCACGTCGTCAACCAGAAGGGTATCTTGGTCGACCCGGCCTAGATCGAGGCTGTGATATGATGTGAGGTTTCGAGGACCGCATCTAAGATCCAGAGTTTCTTAGGCCTCGTAGGGTATTATAGCATATTTTTCCAGGATTTCTCCAAGATTGCAGTGCCTTTGACCTGTTTGACAAAGAAGAATGCGGATTTTCGACGGGGGCCTGATCATCAGTTGGCTTTTGAGACTCTAAAACAGATATTGTGTGAGGCCCCTATTCTCGCGCTTCCTGAGGGTTTGGATGATTTCGTGATTTATTGTGACGCCTCTATTTTGGGTTTGGGAGCCCTTCTTATACAGAGGGTCATGTGATTGCTTACGCTTCGAGGCAGCTGAAGCCTCATGATGCGAACTACCCTACGCACAATTTAGAGTTGGGGGCTGTGGTTTTTGCCCTCAAGATTTGGAGACACTATCTGTATGGGGTTTAGTGTACTATCTACATTGACCACAAGAGTTTGGGGTACTTGATGGACTAGGCGAATCTGAATATGTGGCAGCGGAGATGGTTAGATATGGTAAAGGATTATGATTGTGAGATCTTGTACCACCCTGGGAAGTCCAATGTAGTAGCCGATGCTTTAAGCCGCAAGGCGGTGAGTTCTTCTATCAGAGATATCTGCTTGACGTTGGTTGTCACATAGCCTTTGTTGGTTTTTGATAAAAAAAGGCTCAATTGGAGGGATTGAAAAGGGATAATTGGAAGGTCGAGAGGATCATGGGACATATTCCCTTATTTGTCAGAGACAGTCGAGGGTCGTTGACTTGGTGTGGCAGAGTTTGGGTTCCAGCATCAGGTGGGGTGAGACAAACAATTTTGGAGGAGGCGTATAAGTCAAAGTTTTCTATCTATCCAGGGCTACAAAGATGTACAAGGATATGAGATTGAGCTACTGGTGGCCCTGTATGAAGAGGGAGATAGATTGGTTTGTTGAGTAGTGCTTGACTGGCAAGAAAGTCAAGCCGAGCATCAGAGACCCCACGATAAGATGCAGCCCTTGCCCATTCCCATGTGGAAATGGGAAGAGATTACCATGGATTTCACCACAAAATTTCCAAGAACGACACATGGTGTTGATTCTGTCTGGTTCATTGTTGATAGATTGACCAAGAGTGCACATTTCATACCAATTTTCCGAAAGCATATCCGCAGAGAAGTTAGCTGACATCTACGTTCGGGAGGTGGTAG